CCGTCTCATGAAATTTCAGTAAAACTCACAGATCCATTCAAGTTACCATGAACAGCGAAGAAGACGCTGAACAGTCTATGCTATGCTCGAATTCAGCCTAATCAGTAGATTTTTTTTTTGTCTAAATAGCAGTGGCGAGCAAGTAGATCAGTTCTGTTTTGCCAATAACATATTTTTCACTTCAAATTATATTTGCGAAATTAACGAGATGCTGCAAGAGTTCAAGGCATGAAATAAGAAAATGGGCCTCAAAAACAACGCAACGAAAACGGAGGTGATGCCTGTATTAACAAGTCACACACACATATGAAGAAATAAACGAGAGTTCAGCTTCCGAAAGAGAGAAGTACATACCTCGAATAGGAGGAGTGCGCTAAATGGAAGTATGCAACTCAAGATCGAACAGTTTGGCATAGCTGTGTTTAGCGTGTAGGAGTGCCCCAACAAAATCACTGACACTAAAACCCTACACAAATTATCTCCACCATGGGAATGAAATGATCCAGTGGCCGATCACCTTGGTGATCTCGATTAAAAAGCATAAAAATATAAAAACGTAAGCAATCAAAGTAGTAGAAATAAATAGCAGTGCGAACCACAGTAGCCAGTGCGATCATGCGCTTTTTGCAATTCCGTTCACCGAACGATTGCCCGTTAACGATTTTCACTGCTTTGCACTTTAGTCTGTGCAAAAATAATTGAAACACTGAAAAATAGTTAAAGTTTCACAAACTGGCACGAAAAAGTTGAATTTGAAATCTCGACGGGCGAATATCCTTCCAAAATTTCAATCTCCTAATTTTCTGGCTTTCGAATGATCTTTGAGAAAAAACCTCCACGTGGTCGTACGTAAGACCTTATGCTTAGGAAGTGAATTTGAATTTGTGAAGCCCCTGGTTAGGCAGGAAACATTCTCCTGAAATTTTCAGCCTCCTGGAATTTCTGACTCCTGAGGTAATGTTTTTTCTTGCCAAAACCTCCACGGGGACGCTGAAAATTACCAAAGTTGCACGTTGGCACGGGATGCCACCCCAAAATTTCAACTTCGTAGATTTCATGGCTCTCGAGACAATTTACCCGCAGAAATTTCCACGGGGCCGTAGGCGATACCCGAGAGCGCGGGAACGCTGAATTTGAATTTATAAGATCGAGCGTGGGCGGGGGGTCATTACCACAAAATTCCAGCCTCGCAAATTCCGTGGTTCCCGAAACAGTAATTTATCCCCCCAAAGTCTTCACTGGGTCGTAGGTGACACCCGCGGGCAGGACAAGGCTGGTTTTAAATTTGCAGGGTCACATGTGGACGGGAAACGTTCCCTTAAATTTCCAGTTTCTTAGCTTTTGTGGTTCCCGAGTTAAAAGTGCGGACAAGTTGCAGCGAAAACAAACACACAGACAACCCCGTGACAACATGCGTTTTGCACTGCTGTTACAGAACACAAATCGCACTAAAACACTATTTTGAAGAAAAAAACATACTTGCTTTATTGCACTTATGCCACTGAATTATTTCAACCATTCGTTGCACATAACTTGCAATTTCTTCGCACATTTTTCGAGGATTTTTGATAAATTCCATTGCATTTGTCATGGAACGAATCCCTGACGGATTGAGATTTTCGTGATCTTCGGCCGTCCATTCACGATCAACCTGAACTCAATATCAGCATTTTGTGAAAAAGAAAGTGTAAAATCTTTTCTCAGCTGTAGCCCTCGCAAACAAAAACCTGCAAAGCTGAATGAAGATAGCACTTTAGCTCATGCTGAAAGTCTCGTGCGTTGATATCATCATCCAGAAGGCCATCCGTGTTTGCCGACTTGACCATTTGCATCAAAATCGGGGTAAGCTCCCCTTCCAATGCCAAAAGTCCCTGACAAAAATTACGTCGTTTTAAATAAATTTTTAAAGTTTTCAAACAAAAGCTCAAAATACTAGAATAATCAGTGCTACATAGGCCATCAAGGAAGCGCTAACAT